TTAAACTCACCAAATTGACACACTTAAACAGGAGAGAGTAAAGGAAGAACGCTCTTATCATTCCTTCTATGCTGATGGTGCAAGAAGGTCCTGGAATTCTTGAGAACCAGGAATAATCAAATTGAGAAGCTCCTTGAAGGTAAGCAGGCAAACCTATAACGAGTCTTGCCCTTTCCTGATCTACCACACTCAAATTAAATGCATCATTTTCTATACAGTTTAGAGTTCCCAAAGATCTAGAAATGCTGAGAACTTAACAAAAGGTAGTCTTTAGTATTATCAACTTTTCCTGTGCTCTACTCCTCCTGGATTCAAGGCTATAGAGGCTTTTTTTAGAACGAGACTGTGACAAAATGCTAACTCCAACAGATTCAGATATGCCAGAACCGGAAAGCTTAAGGTTTGAAGCCAGCAGACTCGCTACTGCCATGTTCCTAGGTTCTAGCACTTTCCTATCTATCTTCTCCCAGCTAAATCTTCAGGAGGGTATTTCCTATTACAATGAGATTACTGGCCCCCACAATTTTAACTCAGAATATTATGATGCTATTCCTCCATTTTTGTATCATATGACACTGGTTCCTCCATGGCAGATGACAAAAATATCCTGCTTCCTGACTCCATAACAGGAAAACCGGCCATTAACTTGGGACTTTAGCAAGGCATTTAGCAAGGTCTCTCATAATATTCTGTGGTCAAGAAGAAAAATATAGGCTAGATGATTGTACAATTAACATGATTCATAGCTGGCTGAAACAACGTACGCCACAAGGTACTAATTAATGAACAGCTATCAAGCTGAAGGAGCTTTCCAAATGTTGTACAGCACTTTGCCCTTTGCCCAGTGCTGACTTTTACCTATTATCAATAACTTGGATGAATATATAGAATAGTTATCAAATGTATGGGTAAGATCCAAATACATTAGAGTACAGAATTAGGGCCTAAAATATTGAAACAGACTGGAGTAATGGGCCAAATCTAATGAGATAATGTTTAAGTAGGCTAAGTAGAAGTTCTATACTTTGGTCCAAAAAGATCTGCCCTGCTCAAGAATGGGATACACAAAATTTTGTTAACGGGCAGCATATAGATGCAGCTGTTAAATGAAGTCCATTTAAATATTAGGCAGCATTGTAAGAAGTAGAGATTTGTTGGGTAGTAGAAGGAACATTGGTTCTGGCAGCAGAAAACTAGGTCAAAACCCTGTTCTGCTACGTTGGCCACCTAAACTCTCTGATCCTTACTTTCTTCCCAGGGTTGTTGTCAAGTTAAAATGTATTAACATGTCTAAGTTCCAAGCACTTGCGCGCAATAAATATGACCTAGAAAAATTAACCATTTACAATAAAAGAGGTGGCCACGCTGCTCTATTTCATCCTAGAAAGAATGCGCTTGGAATGACTTCCACATGCCGCACTTAGAACCAAAGAGGGGATCCGGAGGATGAGCAACTGAAAAGAGAACCTGAAGAACAGCTGTAGGAACTGAGGATAACCGGCTTGAGGAAGAGCGGATTCAAGGCAGATGGCATCTACCTTCAAACAGCCGATGGTGTGCTGCATGGCCTCCTGGAGGGCACCAAGGAGGGAGGACTGAATTATGAGAATGTGGGCCAGGGTGACCACTTGGTGGGGATGTTGTGAGTGATTTCAGCACAAGTGGATGATTGGACTCCATGGCCTTTAACAGGACAGTTTGATTGTCTTTTTTCTAGGACACTGCATGAAGTGGTTGCTTCCAAGTTCTGCCTCCAAGTAATCCAGAATCTCCATTATCTTGGGGTTGGGCTGGTTTCTAGCCTGACAATTAGACCACCTGCCCTCGGCTCTAGGCTGAATCTCTTACTGCAACAATCTGCCGCCTTGGACAAGTTTACTCTTGCTCTCTACTTTGTTTACGAATTTCTGGTCATTTAAAATGCCATCTTTCCCCGGACTATCCAAAGGACACAGTAGAAGGGGTAATTTGTGGACGCTTTTTGGGAGATGGGTCAGCAAAGCACGATTTCCTGGTTGCTGAAGTAAGAAGGTAAAGTGGGAAATAAGAAGGGGAACTTAAGAGCTCCAGAGTTGGCGCTGCGGACCAAAAAGTGGGGTGGATGCCAGATACCAGACAAGGCTTTTACTGATAATTTGGCATATTGGGAAGGAAGCAGAGACCAGAGGACCCTAGTCTGGAGTCTGTTAGCCTTCGACAAGTACTCAAAAGTTGTTTTCTCAACGAACGATTTCCTCTGTTTTCCGGAGGCAAAATGAGGCCTGTGCAGGTCGCGATCTCCGGCCTGCTCCACATCGCAATTGGGAAAGTGCCTGGGGCAACCGGAGACGCTGTCTGCCTCTGGCTGGGCGAGGGCCCGCCCGCTCCGCTCCCAAGTGACCCCGGGAAACCATTTTTGTTTTTTTCCAGCCGCTAGCGGGGAAAATTGGCTGCGCGCCGGTTGCCAGGGACGCGGCCGCCAGTTCGGCGCGGCTGGGGTGAAAGAGGACGCGTGGGGAGGGGACCGTGGCTCCTGACTGGCTGCGGCGAGAAGGCTTATTTGCATAATACTCTCTGACGGCATCTGATTGGCTGAAGCCGGAGGGGTGGCGGTGGGGTGATTCCAAGGGCCCGGAGCTCTGGCCCGGGGACCTTTTCGTTCTGGAGTTACCCGGGTGGGCTGTGGTGTTGCGCCGGCCAGGGGGAGCCGAGGAGGCCAGGTTTGGGAAGTTTTGCAAGCAGGTGCATGAAGCATCTTTCTCTTGCAATGTTTAAGAAATGTTAAAGAACGGGGGCCAGAGGCAAGAAACTGGGGGATGGAGGTGAGCAAAAAAAAAAAAAAGAAGAAGAAAAAAAAAGAAACTGGGGGATGGAGAGTGACCTCCTCGAGATCAGAGGAAGGAAGGAAACAGATCAGGGGAGGGGTGGAGGCCAAAAAGAGGCGTTAGGGGCTTTCTCCCAAACTGGGCTTTTCTGCTAGGATCCCTTTGCTAGATCACTTGGATTTCCGTTTTCTGCGACTTAGTTTCACACCGCTGGAACTGGGAAGAAGAGAAAAAGAGGCAGGGTTCTGGCATTTAATAACTCAAATCTGAATACCAAGTTTTCATCCAGAAGCATATGTACTTAAAATATCGGGGGTCTGAAATGGGGGACAAAATATGTTTTCATTAATGAGAGGATGAGCTATTGGAAACTGGATGTGTGTTTTTCTCGAGTTTTCCTCATGCAGTGCTATTTGAATCTCACTGGACGTAAGGGTTTAAAAGCAACCTGGACTATTTTGTACTCTCCTGCTGCCTAAGCACTGGGGGGAAGGGTCTGTGGCTCATCGTAGCCCATTTCCACATTTTTAAGGTTTCTGACTTCACGTAAACATCTCTAGGCTACGATGAGGTCCTATACTAAGTACAATTAATCTTTGTAAAGTACTTTACATTATTTTGACATCCATTATCTTATTTAACCTTAACCAAAATTTGGTACAGCCCACGGGAGAAGCTCTATTTTATTGATAAGGAAACTGAAGCTGGAAAGGTTTTTTTAAGTCTCCATGTGTGCAAAGAGGGAGGGTGAGATTATTAATGCTTCAAATTTATATAATGCTTTTTTGCTCTACATTTTTCTTCCTGTTGATCCTCCCAAAGACCCTGATTGAGCAGGTAACATTATCCCAGTTCTATGGATAAGAAAACAAGGGATAAGCCCTGGGTGGGTGGGGATCCCCAGACTGGGCTCTGTCTCCAGGGGTCACTGACTTGTGTCCTGTTGGCAACAGGTCAGTCCTTGATGCACACAAGTCAGACCTTTCATTCAAAAGACAATTGGCGAGATGGTTTGCCATGGGGAAAAAAAAATTAAATATAGATCAGCAAGGTGAAAGAAAGAGGGAAAGAAAGAAACCCCTTTGGCACTTTTTGTCCTGAGAGAAAACACTGGACACCCCTGAAAGGTTTTAGAGAAAAGGGATTTAAAATTAGAAACTTGAGCCTTATCGAACAATCCCTCCAGCCTGCTGGAGAAGACTGGCTGATGAAGGAGATGGCAAGGAAAGTGAGATGGTAAAAGAAAATCCAAAATGAAAACGGGCTGTCGTTTGGAGTCCCAAAGTGAAATTTAAGGTGCAAGGCTCTTAAAAGTTAAATCCAGTGATTTGGTACACAGCTTAGGCTCTATTAAATGACCTTGTGTTTAAAGAACTATCTTTGGAAAGCAACATTTCAACCCCTCCCCCCAAGTTATTAGACACCTCCCCAGTTTTCTGTTAAACAATGAAAGACACCCAACAGCAGACCTAACTTCTGTCACCCTCTCCTGGCCCTTTGGCAACCAAAAAGCGACACGGCCGGCTCTCCAGCATCTCTGAGTAGCGGGACAGAAGTCAGGAATTTGGCTAGTTCTCCCCATTGCCACATGTGATCTCTTGGAAAAATGTGCAGATCCAATGATAGATCGCTCTTCACCCTGGCAGCAGCCATTACAGGAAAGATTAGGAAGGACCTCGCCAAGAGGGAGGCAAAGCCTCTGAGATCCTCTTCCCCCAGCAGCCAGCCAAGGCCAGGGCCACGGTGGGAGCACCATGCGTCCACGTGCACCCCGCGTGCCCAGCCGCCCTTCTTATGTAAGAGTCCCGGGATAGAGTTGCGGCTGCTGCGGGTCCCTCTTTCCCGACGGCTAATAATAAAGCGGGTCGGTAGTTTCCGGGACGCGGCCCATATAGATGTGGGGTTGGGCGGGGGGCTCACTTGGCAACCGGGGCGCGTGCATTTCGGTCATCCGACCGGGGAGCGTGTGCAAGGCTCACCCAGCCCCCGCTCGCCAGCCCGCCCTCTCGCCGGTCCGACGCCGGCGCCTTCTTAACCCGCGCGGTGCCGTGCCCTGCCCCACTTAGCCCGCTCTGCGCCCGGCGCTGGCGGGGTGCGGCTGCTCCTTCCCTCCTCGGCCCTGCCCTGTCTCTGCGCCCTCCCTCCGCCCGGGTATCAGGCGAGAGGCGGAGCTGGCCCGGCGCGCCCCTCCCCCGCTGTAGAAAGGGCCAGGAGAGTGTTACTCGCGGTCATCCGGGCTTGGGCCTTTTATCTTGGCGCTGCTGGGGAGGCGGGAGGAGGAGACACCGGGGGTGGCCCTGAGCGTCGGCGACACCTTTCCGGGGCTCTATAAATTGAGCACCTGGGATGGGTAAGGGGCCAAAGCCACCACCGCCTCCCGCAGTCACAGTCCGGCCACTGACCTCAGCATCGCCAGCAGGCAGCGGCCGCCAGCAGCGGGAACGCTGAGCTACCCAGCAGCAGGGGATCTCGAGGCGCCAGAGGAGGTGGGTGCCTCCTCCCCATCTCTGCCCCGGTCAGTGTGGGTGGTTGAACTCAGGCTTTTCGGAGGGCGACCGGGGTAGGGAGCACCCCTTCCTTCTCTCCGCGGCCCTCGGCGGACGAGGAGGTGGGACCACCCGGGGAGCCACCCGAGCGCCATCCGAGGCGAGCGGGAACCGGGGAGGGAGGCGCGCGCGGGCGGGGGCGCTGGGCACCCTAGCCGGGTGAATGATCTCTTTCGTCCCCGTCTCCCAACCAGGCCAGGGCTCGACCCACGGACCACGCGCCGCCATCGCGAGCTTCCGGACGCCCAAGCCAGGGGAAGCCGCGCATCCCGTAGGGCCGGGCTGCGAGCGAGACTAGAGTTGGTGAGGGCGGAAGAGGAGCGGGGAATCCCGCCGCACCGGCTATAGCCAGGCCCCCAGCGCGTGAAGGCGGACACTCCCTCGCCCCAGCCGGCCAGCCCGTGCCTCTGCGTCCCTGTGCTTCGGCGCCCGCGCGGCCACCATGATGCAAATCTGCGACACCTACAACCAGAAGCACTCGCTCTTTAACGCCATGAACCGCTTCATCGGTGCCGTGAACAACATGGACCAGACGGTGATGGTGCCCAGCCTGCTACGCGACGTGCCCCTGGCCGAGCCCGGGCTGGATAACGACGTCAGCGTGGAGGTAGGCGGCAGTGGCGGCTGCCTGGAGGAGCGCACGCCCCCGGCCCCCAGTCCCGGCAGCGCCAATGGCAGCTTTTTCGCGCCCTCCCGGGACATGTACAGCCACTACATGCTGCTCAAGTCCATCCGCAACGACATCGAGTGGGGGGTCCTTCACCAGCCGCCGCCGGCGGGGAGCGAGGAGGGCAGCACCTGGAAGTCCAAGGACATCCTGGTGGACCTGAGCCACCTGGAGGGCGCGGACACCGGCGAGGAGGACCTGGAACAGCAGTTCCACTACCACCTGCGCGGGCTGCACACTGTGCTCTCCAAACTCACACGCAAAGCCAACATCCTCACTAACAGATACAAGCAGGAGATCGGCTTCAGCAATTGGGGCCACTGAGGCGGGACGCCCGCGGGTTGCCCCGCACCCTTCCCGGCCCCACCTCTCACCCTCTCTTTCCTCAGAGCTGTTTCTTTCTGGCTGTAGAGCACTATGGGCTGACTGCAAAGTTGGGGGGCTGCGTACGTGCAGGGGGCGCGGCGGGGCTGCATGGAAGCGGGGACCTCTTTTGGAAGAGCAGAGCAAAGTGGTGGCGGAAGAGAGGGGGCTCAAGGATCTCCCTCCGGCGGGGTGGGGGCGGGGCGTGGCGGCTGTGTTCTAACCTGGTGGGAATGGGACTGAGCTGACGCCCTGCCTTCAGCCTGTGCCTTTCCCGGACTTTCTTTTCTGTTCTTTCGGAGGAGAAGGGGCCATGCCTGGGCGCGGCGCTGGGTTGCCACACTTGGGAGCGCCGCCGGAGCTGGGCGCTGGGAAGGCGGGGCGCGCAGGCTCCTGCCGCCCTGCCGTTGGGCTGGCGGAGGCCGCAGCGTTGCTAGGATTGCATCAGTTTTCCTGTTTGCACTACTTCTTTTTGTAACAGTGGCCCTTTCTTAAGTATTTCGAATCTCCTCCTTGCTCTGAAACTTGAGCGATTCCATTGTGATAAGCGCACAAACAGCACCGAGTGTCGGTAACCGGTACTACTTTATTAATGATTTTCTGTTACACTGTATAGTTGTCCTGTGGCACCCCTACCCCATCCCTTTCTCGCCACCCTTTCTCCCACCCCACCCCAGTGTGTGTAAGTTGGCACTGTGCCAGCTTGCACGAAGCTTGCCACTCCGCCAGTGAAAATAATAACATTATTATGAGAAAGTGGACTTATCTGAAATGGAACTAACTGACATTCTATCCGTGTGGGACATAGAATGATGAAGGGTTCCACTGTTGTTATATGTCTTAAATTTATTTAAAACTTTTTTAATCCAGATGTAGACTATATTCTAAAAAATAAAAAAAGCAAATGTGTTCACGAAACTCCATAAAAGTTTGTTCCTCTTTAATCCGCCAGTGGATGGCTTAGTCGTTAAATAAAAATAAATTTAAATGATTTCTTTAGCAAAAGTAAATTTTCTTTTCCCTCTGGTATCCCACCATAGTGGATAATCAACTCTGTAACTATTCAGTTTTGTTTGGGAAGTAACTACTGACAAGATTCACTTCCAAGCATTTTATTTCTAATTCAGTACCAGGGTGGGCCCATGCATCTCCACAAAAGTACATAAATATTCGAAGTATTTGGGAGGGTACGTATATTATATTTTCCAACCAAGTTGACCAGCTTATTGGAGTACTTAATTAACATTTTGAATTTTTTAAGAACCTCAAGCGCAAAATGAAGTGTTTGGAGGCATAAAAATTTATTTTATCGGTGGGAATTTCTCTTGGCTTCAGAGTAGTGAAGAATTAGAAAAAGAAACACCAGCTAACACTAGTGCAACTACCTTGCAGGTTTTATTTACCAGTATTTTGTGTTGATCTTAGGGGATACTCCTTAAATGTGTTAGAACATGTGCTTTCTTGGGCTGGTGGCACTGGCCAAGCACGTTGCTTTGTGTTTTCTTTATTTCATTATTTGTTTAGGGAGAGTAAGTCTTAGATCAACTTCAGTTTTTAATCTTGAAGTCAAGAGACATCTCTAAGGCCAGAGAACTTGAATTTAAAATACATATAACTTTGCAGTTAAAAAAAAAAGGCAAAGAGTTTTTTGTGGTGTGGGCAGCTCGAGTGTATTATCAGCTTTTAACAGCAGTGAAAAAATGGGGAAGTGTCAAGATTGGGGTGCCTACCGTTGCCAGAGAAGTTAATCGTTAATATGTGACGATAAGCTGGGCAGCACTAAAAGTAAGGTATACAGCCTCTTGCTTTGGATCCCCTTTAAAATATCAAAGTACAAGCAAAAAACACAAAGAAAGGAAACTGCAGAAAGCACGTGGTAGAAAGAAACACCAAGACCTTGAGCCAGAAAGTTGTGTGTTCAAATCCTGCTGTGACTCCTTATTAATTGCGAGCATTTAACCCCCCAAGCTTGTTGCCACATTTGAAATTAGGCATAACGACTACAAGGCTTGCTTCAATGGAGTTGCAGTGAGAATTAAATGAGATGATACACAGAATGTCTGAGGCTTAGAAGTTTCTTTAGGCACTACTGAAAGGCCTTGCAAGTTTCTCTCTGTCTGGGGCTCTATCTAAATGTGGGTTCGGATCGCCATGCCCTGCTTGCCTTTCTCCAGGAATATATGAAGCTTAGGACAATATGTCCACTTTAAGGAAAAGCGTAATTTCAGTCACATCCATGAAACAACAGGTAAACTATTTCCTTTCTCAAAGTCTCAAGGGAGAACCTAAATTAAAACCCAAGCGTCACAATTTGTAGGTGACGCGAGAATTTTATGAGATGGTAACTGCAATTTGTTTTCAGAATATTCTTGTGGTAGATGGAATACAGAAAAGCAGATGTTGATAGTGAAACTAAACTGTAAATAAAGAATTATCCATTTTCACTTTATTTTTGAAAATATTACTTCATGTAAGAGTATTTTTATATATAAATGGTGATTCTGACCTAGGAGTAATGATGATTACCATCAAAGACGACTGGATTTTTCTATGAACCGATAAGGTTTTCCAGGGCCCAGGAAGTCCTATTCCACTGACAGTAACTACTCTTTTATTCAAGACTAGTTTATGAAACAAAACGAGGTCCACTCCCCAACAGGTTCACCTGTTAAAACTTTTCAAGCTAGTTAAAATTTTGCTTAACTTTTGAGATAAAATGATAAGGGACTTCCTATTTTCAGAGGGTCTTTCCTGAGGAAGCTCAAATTGCTTTATAGATTTTAAAAGTTGCCAGCATTGTGTGGCCCCTCCCTCCAAGAGCTCTCGGGGCTCCTGGTTGTCTGACGGGGCCTGTCTCCATGGCAGTTTGTGACTGAAGGGACAGACAGATGAACCGGGCCAAAAGGAATAGCTTGGATTGGAATTGATTACCCTGCAGATATTTACATTTGATAAGAATTTTCTACATCAAAACCTCACAGCGAAGGCCTCTAAAAACAGCTTTCTGCTTTGCTCACATTGAGTTTTTCATGTTGTACATTTACAGTGTTCCTTAGTGGTCTGGCCTAATTTACTCTTTCTCTGAACCTGAACCCAATTGTTAGCACGTCACAGCAGCTGGGAGTGTTATTCTTGGGACTAACTTCAAAACGAGTCTACTATTAACAATTTTTTTTTAAATGAACCTTATTGTCATTTGCATATGCCTCATCGTGTCCCCTTAGTTTTAGTTACTGAACAAAAATCGTTTGGGAAATTGTGTCTCCGCTCCTCCTTCTCCTGACATCTCTTAATTTGTGGTTCCCAGATGTTTGCAAATTCGACACAGTTCCGGTGGATTGAGGCCTCAAATCTTATATCATATACCTTTTTTAAAGGTAATTATCTTTTTATGAGACATCTAGTACATTTTTATCAATCATTACATCCTTGTTTGATTTATTTTGAAGAATTTTGCATGAAATAATGACTGAAGGAATGTTCTCTTCAAAATTTTAGAGGCAATTGCTACCCCCAACAAATAAAAAAGTCTGGATCAGAAGCTTATGAAAACTTTAAACATGTAGACTATTGGCTTGGTCTCTTAAAACTAGTTACTAGTCTTTTCAAAATTCCAAACTTCATGTAGTTTCTGATCAAGCCCAAATTGCTTTAATTAGCAAGGTAATTTAAACTTAAAATTATTTATTTTTTCTTTTAAGGTCATGTCCAATTTTTTTTGAGAATTCAGGGAAATTTAAAGGTCGTTCTTGAGTTACTCTGAACACTTTATTGGGTCTCTGGTTAGTTCATTTGGAACTGTGTAGAACTTTCTGATAAATGGTACAGATAATGATAGTCACTACCGATAACCACTTCTGTATTGGGAAGCCAGTACCATGCTTTGCCTCAGACAACCAGGGCTCCTTCCTTGGGTCCCTCACTTTAGAGGGCCCCTATGCTGACTCTTGTAAGACCTTGCGACTCCCCACGGGACAGGGAGGCCTCAGAGCCAAGGAAATGCCCAGAGCTTGTGCTCCTACTTATAAACCACACTTGGGTACCTGGATCCCCAGAGTTTCCTGCCCAAATACCCCTGAGCCCATTACAGGGACTGAGTTTGTCGTCCTGAGAGTGGATGTGCTTGGATGGTGGACAGGGCTTGGACATGTAGACTGGGTTGTCCAAGGATGGAGCTTGGGTAGGAAGATAAGGGGGTGGAGCATAGGCTGGAGGTCCCCCCTGGGTTTCAGGATGAACAAAGGATTTGAAAGCCTGCAGAAAGGAAATAAGAGGTGAAAGCAGCTCAGGCTTTAAGGTCTCTCTCAGGATTGGCAAATGAAAATTCCATGGTTTTTCTCCCTATTTCCCACATTCCTCAGGAGTCTCCCTGCTCCATTGAAAGGACATTATTTAATAAATAAAATGCTGGTTAAGGAAAAGGAAAGCCACGTCTGTACACAGAGCCTTTCCAGCTGCTTGCTATTCAGAGCTTGAATAGTGGTGATTATAGCAAAGACCGGAATGGATGCGTCGTCCATAAAACCATGAAGATTCCACCTCAAATTTTCTTTCATTCTTTTTGCTGTTGTTGTTATTAATTGTTTTCTTTTTAGTGTCAAAAGTCTTGGTAAGTTAAAGCAGAAAACTAGTAGTTCTGCATCTGTCTAAACAAGGCTTGCTAAAACCACAGCTATCTCCTCAGCCCTTCCTGTTTTGGCATTCTCTATTTTTAAGAGGAACATTTTTTAGTACCTCCCCCTTCTTTTTCTTATATTTTATTACTTCTTTGTCTATTGTTTCTGAATGCTTTGCCTAGCAGTTTTAAAAACATATCTGCTGGTGTGCCCAACTTCAAGAATCCCATACTGGTAAGAATTTTGATTGGAGAAAGTTCTTATCATTTAGTTAAGAATGGAGTTATAGAGGGTAACCTTCTGACCTTGAACTGTCTAGAGAAAGTGCTTTCTAACACAACAGATAAGACTGGGAAAATACTAGCAAAACACAGAGCCCAGTTCTTTATTTTAGATAGCTAAATAAACAATGTTGGGGGTGGGGCGTTTTCTAGAATCTATTTTACTTTTCAATACCAATCTTACTAGTGTTGATATGTGCACTTTTATCAACGAGCATTCAGTTAACAGGATGAAACTGAACATGATTCATTTGATATTTTCAAAGGTAGAAACTAACTTTGTAGTTTTTTCTTTCCTCCTGAATACCACACTGCTGAGGTAAAGAATGTTGTAGCTTGTGGGTGAGCTCAATAGGGCCAATTAAAACCTGACTAGTCTTCCACCATGTTGAAATACCTGACCGAACTTGCTGTGTCCTTGGATAATGACGTTTTTTTCCTTCTTAGCAGACATCTAATTGAGGAGATTTCCTGTTTGGTATTCAAGGAAAGATGAAAATGAAAGTAGCACATCGTTGGTTCTGACCAAGGCATTTAAAATTTTCTGGTTGCTCACAAGGTGATATTAATTTTAAGCCCTGCTCTTTTTTGTTTAATGAGACATATACATTGTGAAAGAACACATCTATGTCCCGAAGCAGCCAAACTATGTATAGAATGCAGAGAGTGTAGTAACTATATTTTGGTCATTCGAAATGAGGTGCAGTGTTGTGGCATCTACTTGACATTGCAGCTTGTAAGTCGTGGCTGTTTTGGGGGTAGAGCTTAGTTTCTGTTATGATAAGCACTTGTTGATAGATCCTTCATAGCTTAAATGTTTAGGAGGAAAGTGCCAGAAATTTAGATGTTTAACCCAAGTGTTGGGGGCTGGGAGGAATCTCAGAAATTTTCCTTTAGTGTGTTTTGGAGCAGAGGAAAAGGCCTGCTTCCTGCAGCCAGTTTGGCCCCAAGTGGAAAAAGGGAGATGCCAAGCCTGCCTAATTTAGTCTTTCCAAATTTACCAGCTGTCAACCCACTGTCT